CTAATTAAAATGGACATTAAAGTATTTAGACTAGAATGATTGATCAAATAGTAATACAAATACATGTCTTGAGGTTAGTATGCATGTATGTATGTAGGTATGTGTTTAGGCGTTCGTAAGATTTTGGGTTTGTTTGTACACAGTAGTTGCGTAGGCATATAATGTAGTTTAGACAACCCATAAATAATTTTACATGTTATCTATTTTTCAAGTAATATTTATTTATAGAACATGAGATTAGTTGAGGTGAAAAATGTTGAAATTGTATTATCAAATAAATTTAGTTATTTTTTGAAGATTAGAAATGTTTAAATTCACTTGGTATTGTTTACTTGAATCTTCTTATTAATGTTGCAATCGATCAGTCTTTTAGTGGTATAGATGAATACTGTGTTTATTGCCTCGATATTGCTTTCATTCACAAGCATTATAAATAAAGATGGATGAAGAATAGCAGTGAAATCTAGGACGTACAAGTAAGTGGATATCAGGAGTAAGTAACTAAGTGAATAACGCGATGGCGTTTGAAGTGAACAGTACTGGATTCGAGTTTCAGAGTGAACATCAACTCTGAGATGCATATCCATCCACCTGACGAGTTCTAAATAGGACAAAACGCGATTCCCGGATTCCATTGTTAGTCACCATCCACCTCTGCTTATTAGAAATGTTTGTTTCAATGCTTATTGAGACATAATATGCTGACCGACGGAATGTTTCTTACTGGATGTGGTGTTATTTCCCATGAAAGATTTAAATCTGATATCATTCATAAGAATCTTATTTCTATCACTAACCAAATACATCATACGAAGTAGCTGAGGACTCCATTAAGTTCCGTAATCAATGATCTATATATATATCAGTCAGTCACAACGTAGGACCAGGCACATACATGCATCGGTCCAAGTTGCCATACTTCATTAGCACAACAAGATGAACACTAAATTAATAGAAGTAGTTACTTCGCTGGTAGTAATATATAGAAGAAAGGTTGTGTATAAAGATATAATACAGTACGAAAAAATTAGTTCATAGAAATAAAGGTATAAAGCAATTTTAATCTCATCATTTAAGGGAAGACAAAGAGTGTATACACGTACTTCATTGTGATCGTTTCCAAGCCATGTCATCCAGAGTCTCCAACCATTGGTTACGATAGTCACACGGACCTCAACCAAGTAGTCCGCATTCACGAATAGACATGTCACTATAACTCATACCTTTTGTTCATAAATGGGGATTATCTAAAATATGTTAGTTGGTCAGATAGTGTGTAATATGAACAGTATTATAATTATTATTTTGTTAGATAATTATTTCATATTAAACATAATCTGAACACCAACATTGTAAAACAGCAATATTTACATGTAATCATATTATTTACTTATAGCTGGATTGAATGGAACAGATTATACTATCCGTATTTTTATTATTTGAACAAACCATGCCTACGGAGTATATTTAAAGGAGAACTAACTCTGTTAAATTAATAAAGATGAATGAATCTGACAATAAAATATCTTAAATAAAGTGAGTAGAACAAGATTAGTAGAATAACATGAATACACTATATTTCAAGGCTTTTCATCAGTTGTAAACCGCCTAAATTTATATTAGTAATATTATTATAAAAAGGTTTACATATTGTAGTCAATGAAGTTTAGTTCGAAACGATATAAGAAACAAGAAAAGGAAACGATATTTTTCACATAATAGTTAAGATGGATTAGTATTTACATGCTGAAGATGAAGGTTGATGTTATGTAAGTCAATAAAAAGATAAGTGATCAGTATGTATAGAAATAAAAAGTTTGTAGTTTTTACAAGACAATACAAATATACACTGTTATGTAATTCCTACAGACTTGTTAACTTTTTAATCTACAACAACTTACTAGGCATATGATAACACATGGTAAGTAGTTTTTCTATATCAGTGTTTTGAATCGAGATCAACTACCTTCTTTCATACATTTATATTAGAGGTAAATTACACAATCCATCAACACACAACTTGTTGGGAAAGATATTGATTAAGAGTTATCTTATATTTAGTAATAAATTTATTTTTCATTTCTTAAAAAGATTTTCAATCTCTTAGGTATTCTGAGTGTATGATTTAGAAAATCCTTTTAGTTATCATGCTAAGAATTTTATGTATTTCCAGAACTGTTTGTCATATGAATCTAATATTTGGCATGAAATTCTATTCCTGCCTTAGATTAAAAATATCACAAAATCTAAAATGTTTTTTCGTAAACTAAAGACTCTGTCTATGGTTTTGTACTTTTTGGTATTTCAATTTTTAAAGCAGTTATATTATTTTCTCGAAGGTTCGAGGAAGATGTTAAATTTCATGGTAAAAATCACCGGCTGATCATAGCTAAACAAACATTGAAACCCTATGACTACTGAACTGCTGTTTCGTCCTAGTTTGGGAATTTCACAGTACTGTACATCCACAACTCCCCCGGAGATCAGATAAGTGGCCTTTCGAACATCATGTATGGTAACAATTGTATCCACTAATCACTAACTTCGACAGATAGCGCCTGGAGTTTTAACGAGAAGCTGTAACCTATGGAGTTGAGCTACGCCATATACTAGGCAGTTAACTGCTAATGATAATGGAAATTAATTGAGCAATATCGTGAACTGATTGATTTTGAACATGTAGACCACTGGATGTTAGTAATATGGTTTAGGGACAAAGATCACACAACAATATCAGAAGGTTATAGGTTCGGTCACATGTGTGGTCGAGAATGCGCACTTCTTAGAAACCCCTTACTAGAACGAAACAGCTGCCCAGTACATCCTGGGTTTTTCATTAGGTTTTCTTAAGTAGAATAATTCGATTATGTTTACTATAAAATTAATTAAACAATCGATGAAAGTATAAATTTTAGCGTTCAGGTAGACGTGATACTATTTAAAACGATTGTATTAGCCAGCCATTTTGTTATTACCTAAGTTTTCTATCCATAAAATTTCAAATAACAATGTTTTGATACAATTCGCGATACAAATGGCTTTGTCTCTCTTTTAATCTGAAACGAAAAAAGAAGAAAAAGTCTTGGAATACCCAGTTATTGTCCAAAATCAACTCTACTCTTAGTTATTTCGAAAAGCCTATTACCCGAATTACAATATATCATAGTTTTCTACGTGTCATATCAACAATTTATTAAGATTAACCAGTATTATGTAGGACAATACAAACGTGGAGTAGTTAATTTGAATGCTATTGTAAAGTGTCGTTAGACTTCACTCTGATGTAATCAAAGGAGACCGATACCAAATTTACACTAGTATGTTCAGTGAGAAATCACTAATAATATCTCACTCATGATATCAGTTTTGGCCTAAATAGCTCAGAAGTAATTATCCGATCATTAACACTTAGTGAAGTAAGTTTAAATCCCGCGGAAATCATCAGTTCCACCAAGATTACAGATAATCCATCTTGATGCATTCAATTTAGCATAAAATATAAGCCTTCTGTTTGTTTCCTTCAATTAGCCAACATTTGGATTCGTTACGTTGGAATATTTCGTATATCCCCTACTGATAGTTAATAAACACGATTTTATTATTCTAGAGGGAGCAACATATTTGTTCGAGAATAACAGCAAACGATAGAATGATCTCTTAGCAAGTAAGAGGCATGAAAAAGCAGTGCATACAAATAATGTTTTACCAAAAATAGTATTAAGATTCAAGTGTTCACATTAAACTGGTTAATTTCATTAAAACTAAGAATATAAGTTCCAAGTATTGAATACCCATGGAAATATGTATTTTAGAGCATTAATTACAACATCATACAGATAAATATTTGAGTCCTAACATTTCAGTAGGCGACCATCAAGTTTGGGAAATTAAAGGAATTAGTTTGAAATTGTAATACTTACTAAAATATGTTTCATTTTCTGTTAAACTATACGTTCAGCTATATTGTGGTGTGGGTTACTTATATCCACATAAGTAGTATATAACGGTGGTCAGGCATGGAATATATTTCAGTAGTAGATCGATAAGGGAAGAAAGGAAAAGGAACGCAATTGATATCAAAATGCATGAACAGTGAAATCTGAGACAATGGATTGATGTTTGCAACAGGAACAGTCAAGTTTGATATGATGGATTGATATTTTGCAAATTAACATTTTACTATATGTAAATAAATAGTATATTTGTAATATCCCAATGATTAGAAAAATTAGATTTTCTGACGTTTCCTGGCTTAGTGTAAGTGACAATCTGCCCAATGCTCAATTTATTCGAAATTATCAAATCAAACCATGGTAATGATACCTAATTTACTATATGGTTCTCAGATTTTAGTGAGATACTCTGTAATTTCATGTCTAATACATTCGGTTGTCCCTACTCATTATATTGTTCACAACAATGAAAGTTTCATAGAATCTTGAAAAAAAAAGAAACACAAATCTAAAATCTATTCCAGTGACAGATAATACATTCGAAGTTCACGCTGAAAGATAATTTTAGAATAGAGCCTAGATTATATATGTATATAACCTATTTTTACTGTTTATATCTTTTATAGTAGATATCAACCGGGGAATTCAAAGTAACCAATAATATTTAGTCACATGATTAAAGTAAGTCATTCTAATTTCAACCAATCATAATAAAATTATCTGTATTTAAGATACACACATGAAATCAGAACCATTCGAATAAGAGTAGGCGTTAATGAATTACATGATTACACATGTATTAAACCATTGTATCTACACATGTTCTATACATTTTCACTCAAAGAAATTTGGAATTCTTTAAAGAATTAACATTTATTTATTTATATTTTCTATATAAAGAAATTGGAATAAAAATCTTATAATGATCTCTGTAGAATGTGATTATATATATGTATATTGATGTAAAGTTTATAGGATTTGTTGAATTCGAAAGGAATCTTTAACATCATTGTTGAAACTCTTTAATCTTCTCTATTGTCTATAACAATGTCATTAAATTTTAATAAACTTTTTTTACAAGATATACTATCTCGAAGAGAATCACCGCATGCACTTGACTTAAATGAAGAAAATCTTAAAATTCAAGAAGAATCAGAGTATTCAGCAGAAGATAATGATGATGATAATGATGCTGATGAATATGATGATGAAGATAATGAATCTGACGATCGATTTACTGAGGATAATAATGATAATGATGAATATTTAAACTATACCGATGAAAAAACATGTACTAATAATAAAATTAATGAAAATAACAAAATAACTAATAAAATTAAATCAGGAGAACATTTACAACAGTTTAGACTTATTTCAGCATTGAATAATTTACGATTAGCTGTAGATAAACAAGCTAAATTACAATCATTACTTAGTGATTATAAACATAAAGATAAAAGTCAAGATTCTAGAATATTGTCGAAATTATTAACAGTTAAAGAATATAATCCTACACCTGATGATACAACTAATCAAACTAGTAATCTATCAGACGTAATAACAACAACAACAGATAATAAAAATGATACGAAAAGAAATATTGAATTTGAAATTGAACAAAAAGATGAAACTACAAGTCCTACTAGTAAAACAATTCAATCTAAAGTGACATATAGATCGTCGAAAAAACCATGTCAACATAATACAACAGATATACCTATATCTTTAACAGATAAAGATATGATAGCATTTCGAAGAAATGAACGTTTATCAAAAAGAAAAGAGAAAGTAAGTTATAATTGTGAAATATTTTTTTATTCTATGAAAAGAATTTGTTTTATATTAGATTTTAATAAGAATATGAATATCATACTTGATAAAAATGAAACTAAATTTGTAAATTGCACTTTCCAGAGTGTTTTCCATATAACTGGTTACAGAAAGACCATTCATGTGTCTTACATCTACCCATGGGTTCGCTGAAATGTTTTCGATTTCTTTGATCCTCAACTTCTAATTGTTTCTGATAGAAAGCAATCTCAATGGTTAAGATCATGAGTCAGTTGAAGCTAGACCACCATGGAAAACCTGGAAGCACTGGACGGCCATTTCGTCCTATTGTGAGACTCCTCAGCAGTGCGCATCCACGATCCTGCACCCTGCGAGATTCGAACTCAGGACCTACTGGTTTTGCGCGCGAGCACTTAACCACTAGACCACTGAGCCGGCCGGCACCCAACAGTGTTAATGTCTAACTTCAGCTAATCCACGAAATTGAGCGACACATTCACCATTGTCTTCAGTGAGTTACTATCTCACAACACACCTGGTTTGTGATGTAGATATTTTGCTGATTCAAATTTCGATGCATGTTGCTAGAGGCTTAGAATGATCAGTTTACTATAGATCCATACCAATTCCATAGTTATTTTTAAGTTATGCACTTTTCCAATAGAAAATGAAATGTTATCGCATAACTGACCTCTAATCCCTGATATCAATATGGATCTTTTTTTTGTATGTCACGTTGTTTATCGAATAAAGGTCATTTCATGCCCGTATTCATCAACAGATTAGTTAGAAAGAAGAAAATGGATCGACCACTTTTCATTATCCAATCGTATTAAAACATTCACAATCTAAACTGAAATTTATATAACCAAAATTTGTTTCCATTATTGATCGATTTCTGTTTTCTTCCGATATTGTATGTATGATTAAAAATGTAATTTTTTAAAGGATAAAACAATTGGAAGGTGTTTAATGGATTTTGTGTTTTCGTTTAAAAACGCATTGGTTATCCGAGCAGATGCCTTAAAATTAATTAAAGGGGATATTTATAGATATAGGGAGGTTGACAACATATGACGAAAGACATTAGTCACAATGTCATTTACTTCATTCTTTTAAGGTTTTTGTAATTTACATGATAAACGCTAAATTTTTGTGTTGAATTAATAATCAGGAACTGTCTTAATAATAAGCGCCTAGTTAATTTACCACTTAAAATTAACACATTAAATTTATTTGTTGAAAAAAGTGCTATTTTACGTTGAAGTATATTATGCTTAAGTGAAAGAAGTACTGTCAGAGCGAGTACTATATCAAGTCCACATAGCTTATTCTAGCCTCTGGAGAGATTAATCTATTCATTCTTCTTGAGCCATATTTTTGCCCAGTCACTTATTCGCCTATCAACCTTAACTATCTTTATGTAAGCGTATGTGTGTGCATTTCTTATTTTACTATCGAATGTTTGTAAATTGTTTTTGGTCTGACTATAAATATCGATTAACGCTTGATTAAATCGAGTTGGCATACATGCCTTCTCCACCGCACATCATTTCGTTTAATCTCGGTCTCTTCGTTCCTTTGATCGCCTGCCTGGATCAATGACTGTATGAAATATAGGTATTCATATCCCATTCTCGTATTTGACTTAATTCCGTTATTCACCAACGCGAGTTAAGTCGATATTTATATACGAGGATTGGTGACATGTATATTTTGATAACAAGTGGTAAATGATCTACCTGGGGTCGGATCTACGACCATTAGAAAACAACAAAATTCACAGAATAAAGTGAATTCATTTTATTTCAAAGCTTCCTTTCGGTTGTAAGCACTCTAAGGTTACGAAGATTTATATCATTGGACGCAAATGCTTGACACTCCAATTAGTGAAGTTGATATGTACATTTGAAATGGAGCAACACATAAAAGTGAACAATATCGTTTTCAGTTAGATCCTCATTACTCTTTACAGTAATATACAATAATATTTATATGCATATACGAAATTATTAAACCAATCAAGGCAGTTCATGAGTCAATGATCACGGTGGAATAAATTGCATAAATAAATATAAGTCAAAAGTACAAATGAATGGTGTGATGACAGGTACACTAGTTGTGATAAGAGTATTAAAAGCTTGAATCCATGTTTCATTATAGGAAGTAGATCAACGACTTGAAAAATATAGACACTAAATAATAAATAGAATCGTTTACTAAAACTAATTCGGCAAAGGAAGAAATAAGGGTGTTACAAATTTCTTATCAATACAAAGACGTTGATTGTTAGCTAAAATCCCTATATTTGAAATGGATCCGAAAATCATAATAATTGTATGAAAAACACATTATGAAATAAGGCTTAAATTAATAAGCATTTGAATTTTGAAAAAAGATGAAGAAAATTGACCGTGTAAGGTAGCATTAATTACTAACAATTATATTAAAATATTAAAAGTGATTACATTATCTTATAGTTTATAATCAACATTCTCAATAAACCTACCTATTATCAGAAAGGGGGTTTTGTGGATATTATAGTAATTTAATAGTTGAGTTCATGGGTCACTTGAGTCTAGACCACCTTGGAAAACCTGGGAGCACTGGGTGGCCGTCTCGTCCTAGTGTGGGATTCCTCAGCAGTGAGCATCCACGACTCCACCCCGCGAAATTCGAACCCAGAGCCTTCAGTCTCGCGCGCAAACGCTTAACCTCTAGACCACTGAGCCGGCCGGCATCCAACAGTGTTAATGTCTAACCTCAACTAGTCCACGAAATTGCGCCACCGTCCATCATTGTCATCAGTGAGTTACTATCTCACAACAGACCTGGTTGGACCCCACTGGTCACCACTTCTCACTAGAAATCCAGGAACTAATTCTTGGAGACAGTCACTAGTGAGCATATGATAATTATAATCAGAGAGGGGTTTTGTGGATATTCTAATGGATGCGCACTGCTGAGGAGTCTCACAGTAGGACGAAACGGCTGTCCAGTGCTTCCAGGTTTTCCATGGCGGTCTAGCTTCAAATGACTGATGAACTCAACTATTAAATAAACCTACCTATATTGATAATTACTTAATCTTACTAAAAATAACTTGGTTCCATGAGAAGTATATGTACTTAAGTCAATACAAAATTAATGTATGAATATCATTATGATCGTATAGTAAAAAAAACTATTTGATCATACTTCTAATTTCTATGACATGGAGAAGTCTATGACAGTTTTCTTCTGTACTCATAAGTTAGTTCTGAAATGCTTGATTACAATAGTTTGTACCATGCGTCCTAAAATTGACGTTGGATAACAATAATAATATGATATATTCTGAAAATAATAATGACAGAATTCCTGCCAGTTTACAAGTATAATCATTTTCATATAAATAGTAATAATAAACATAGAGGATAAATATTTGGTATTAGATTGTTTGAAGGGTTCTTACTCAAAAATTGTTTGGGTAGTACATTTTTCACATGTATTACAGCAATAAAAAGGATCAGTCAGGAACCTCCAATTCTTTTTAAGTGAACATTCTGTTGATTTATGAACGGTGTATTTATGGTCATTTCTTGCACCATAACAAACTGATTATAGTCATCTAAAACTAGAGAAAATAAAATGGAATAAGGGAGCACAGAACAACAAAAGCAATAATCACTACGACGGATCTGTCAGGTCTAACGTAATAAATATTTCAAGTTATTTAGGAATTATTTAAATTAGTTAAGGTTACTAGGAACGGTGTTAGTGTAAAAGTTACAACTGGCAGTTAGGTTTACTCAGTAGGGTCAGTATTAAAACGATTAGACATCTGAAGTTTCTATAACCTCACTTGTGGAATGGGATCTGCTTACAGGTGTACGAACATTTATAGCATTTTCAGAGCAGAAATACGTATCTGTGCGGTGAACAAAGAATGAGAGTGATTTCATTTTACGGACAGATTAAAATGAATTATTCCAGAGTCTGGAAAGTATTAGTAAAGTAATTCATATGGAGAAAAGATTTAGAATGTGATTATTTCACCAATAACAAAGAGTTACAGATTCTGTAATTAGGAGTTTCTGCATTTTAACTTACGACATTGAATGTAAAGGATAGCTAATTAAATATTTTGAAGGGGAGGATAAGATTTAGTTTGATTTTCTCCTTCCATAAAGAGTCGAGTCCAAATTTATTACGTCTGAATGATTGGATGTTTTTACTTTGTGTTCACTCTCCATCATGGGCCTAGCGAGTACACTTGTAACATCACATGACTGAAAATTTAAAAAGATAAACAAATTTTGGTAATTGAACAGAAACATTTCATAAGAATTATGATTTTAATGTGAACTGCATCAAAGTAAATAGAATACTCAATATATTTGGAACGAAAACATATGAAACTGATTTCATTCTTGTTCACTTTTCTGTTATCAAAATTAACTACGAAAAGAAACAAATGACTTATAGTATTTATAATAATGCACTTGTTATCTAATAAGCAAAATCAGTAGACTTTCATCATTACAAATTATTAGACATTATGAAATCTATCACTGTTCATTGAACAATAATTATAAACATTATAGTTTAATTGTAGATCAGTTGCCACCCAAAAAGTTTAGAGATATTATTCTTGTTTATGATATTTAGTGAGATGAGCTCAAACGTCTAGTAGGAGGTAGTACCATTTTAAATATAACTTGATTATGAGTGCTAAACCTAGGTACATGTGTATGTGTCCGTCACCTTCAGTTATTTAAATAATAACATCATTTTATAATATTTAAAATAATCCGTGACTATCGATTACATTATCATAGTGATATAAACCATAATGATCTTTGACTGTTTTCAAACTTTTCTATTCTATATTTTGAATATGATATCATTATATAAAATTATATAAAATTTAATTTCTAGGTAATATGAACAATATTTCTAACGATTAGAGGACTCTCTATTTTTAGCTTAGAATATCAAGAACCATGACGTAAATG